AAAAACTTACGCGGAACAAAAGTGTTTGTTATCAAATCTTTAACATTTTTTTTGTATTTTTTTCAAAATCTGGTCGATATTCAAATATTTGCTATTTGCATAAGTTTTTACAATTATTTGTATATATGCAAATAATTGCAAAAAGTATGCAAATAGCAAATATTTGTAATTGTATGTCGATAACTCTAGTCTTGAGAGATAAAATGATTCAATAATTTTATCAGTCTTACTGTAATCTTCATGTAATCTGAACAGCTGCAACGTATAAAACTTTCGCTTAGATTTATGAATGAAAACGCAACTTTATGTATTATATATGAATGAAAAACTCGCTTTTATAATTTTAATTACCGATTCCATGCATTTAAATCTTGATATACCTGTATTTGTTGTCGCTTTCGGGCGTTTATGCATAACTGCATCAACTCGAAAAAAGAAATTAATGAAAAGTATTTGTAAATATGCAAAAGCAATGTAAATTCAAATCTAACTAAACGAACATATGTTGTGTTTGTTAAAATGAAGCGAACATTATAATAAACCGGAAAATATTGAGATTTTACCTTATGAGCTTAAAATCAGTCGTGGACATAATCTAGGTTTTTCTTTTCTACTTTTGATACCATGAGCTTTAACAAGCTCCACTAAATTTTTTATTCATCTCCCTTTTTTTCTTTTTAATGAAGCTTCAATTAATTTCTTGTGGCGTATGAGAGTCACTTCATTCATTGTAATTTTAAAACGTGATTGTTGATGGTTGCGCTTAAGACGAGGTAGATTGAAAAGACTATGAGTGTTTCATTCATAAATTTCTCATGTGTTCCATTGAGACAGAGCCTCAGCACATAATAGTTTTCAGCACGCCCACGTGATATTTCAAAACGTAAAACGGGCACAAATACTAAAAAAATGCTGGTTTTTCTCTTATTCGAATTTATGAATGAAATCTGAAATCGAAGAGGTAAAGAGGTAAAACGTAAAAAAAAGATTGAATGAAATATCAGCGACATAAAATCTTAACTATTAGACAACGAAATCGAATCGAGTTTCTTTTTTTCTTGACTAATGTTGGCACTCATTGGCACATAAGACAGACACGGAAAGAGACCGGAAAGATGAAGCATGCTTTAGGAATCAGGCTCAAATCGACTCAACTGTTTATTAATAACAACTCACGCAATTTTTATACGTTGATTCATCGAGTTGCTGCCGATATTTCTTTTTTGATTCATGATTTTGTTGATTTCATAACACAATGAAGATGAGGTAACAACTACAATTCAATGAGCTTTTCAACATCATATTAACAGCATTTGTGTCGAGGAGGCCTAGACATTCGGCTGTTACTTTGTATATGTATCTATATGATTCAATGTCATCGCGAAAGTAAGAAGATAATTTAAATGCTTCTTTTTATTGCAAAATTATATGATCATAAAATTTTTCAACTGATTAGGACCTCCGTTTAATACAGAATTTTAATATTAAATAAGCTTTTATATCAACTCGACATGTTTTAAGAACATCTGTTTTCTTCAATCTAAGTCAAGCCTTGTTTTTTTTTGCTTTGTTAATCAAGACTAAGAGTTTAAAGCAGAGACAGATAATATCATCGTTAAAAGTTGGATGAAAAGTTGAGGGTAGGGTTTAGTAATCGAATGCAGAAAAAAGAATATCCATATAAGTGATAACAGTAATAATGTAATAATAATTAAGTTTTGCGGAGGAGTTCCAGAAAAATTGCTGTTTTGCTTCATTCTTCTTTCATACTCTTGTTCGTCGCGTTATAATGCGATATAAAAAAAGAGACGATATAAAATAATTGAGTGGGTGGTGATGTCAGTTGAGTTTCCTGTTCCGAAATGTTGAAAACAAGAATTGAATACATTTCAAATAAAAGAATTGGAATTATTTGATTTTTTAAGAGCCTTATTCCGTGCGCTTTTCGTGATATGCAATCAGAGAAAAGTAAGAAGAGAATAAGGAGATTGCATGTAAAGATGTGCGCAATCGGTGAAGTGTCATGGCCAATAAATTATGCAATTGAAAGCAACTCATTCTAAGATTTTACCCGCGTTTTATTCCTGGCTACAAAATATCGCGCAACTGCCTTTAAAACAGAATATTTTAATATCATTTCAAAGTAGAGTCGACGACATTCATTTTATTCTAAAAGCCATACAGAAATGTTAAACATGATCAATTCCAAAAATGTATTAATATTATTTCTTAAATATCTAATCCAAATTTTATGGATACATATCTGTCACAAGCCTGTTTTTGCGATCATGTTTCTATTTATATTCCTAATGAATTGAGATTTGGTAAATAATGAACAAGCATTTTCAAAATCAACTCCATTCATAAAACGTTCATTCAAATATTTTACTTACATTTTTATTTTCTTTATGAATGAAAATTTGCTTGTTTGAATAACAACAGGGAATGTGCATAAAATACGTTTTTATTTCGGAAGGAGGTTTAGTGATATTAAAATTCCTCGTGTAAAATTTGTATTTTAACAAATGCTGGGAGCTGAACTTGTAATTTGTTGACGTACCTTTCAAGTTTCCTCAATGTAAAGTTATTTAAATCCAGTTTTTCTTAGCTGTTTGCTTAAGGCTTAACAATCATACGTAAACATACGATCGTATATTTTTTTATTGAAACGGTTTGAGTAACACTAATTCAGAAAAGTTTTATTTTCATAAATTTTCATTATTTGTTGAAGATACTCGGTAAAATTATTTTGCCAAAAACAATTATAGAAATAATGAGATTGTCGTCGAAAGTCCTGAAGATCGTTAATTATGCGTTTCTGCAATATGTTTCATGGATATTTTACTAAAGTTCACCACAAATATGTACATACACATAAATGTTGAGAACTTTTGAGTTTATTGCTATTTTATTTCATTTCCTTAATCTTTTCTAGCAAAGAGATCATCATTGGTATCATTTCAATTTACTCTAGTCATGATAAGTAAGATTCATGATATTTATAAGTCATAAACACATATGAAATAATAAATTTATATTAAATTGTGTTGTACCT